CCCGCCCCGACCCGTGCCGCCTCCGGGGGCTGCGTGCGCTCCGCGCGAACCGAGCGCAGGCTCAGGTCGGAACGCGCCGGCGTGGTGCGAGAACTGTGCGCGCAGCCGGGCCAGGTGGTGACCCCCGGGTGAGTGGGTCGGGCCGGGCCGGGCCGGGCCAGTGAGGGAGGGGTCTAGAGGGGGCTTTCTAGGGGGGAGAGAAAGGTCCCGGACCTTCCAGAGGGGTCAGGACCCTGGAAGTGCGAGGCTCGGCGTCTCAGCACTAAGCGGAAAGGGCCTTGAGCTGCAGGGGGACTTGAGAGGAGCTGCACTGGTTGGGAACTTTGAAAAGGAGGCCCAGGCAGCTGCGAGGCTTTTGAAAGCTGGGTAGTCACCACTTGTGATTGTTCCACTCCAGAGGCATTCTACGTTTAAATTCTTAGCGACCTGACGTTGTTCCCTTTTGGGAAACAACTGCACTCTTTTCTCCTGTAATAGAGAGACTGCACCTTTGTAAGTTAAGACAACTTGGGGTGGCTGAGAATACAGGACAACTTAGGCGAGTTTCAGGCTTGTTAATGAAATAGAAGCGGTGGAGGCGTGTGCATGTCTTTAAACTCTTGTAAACTGTGTGAAACGCGGTTGTAAAACCTGATGGTTCTGCATCATAACTCAGGAAGAGGCAGAACCCAGGCTGTGTGTGTCCAGGTGACAGGGTAGTAGTGCATCGTAATGCATGGATTCCATACTGTTGGCACCTGCGTCCTAACTTCATAAAAGGGTATGTTCCCTTTTACAGAGTGTTTAAATTGTCAAGTTTCAGTGCACATCTGAGTTCGCCAGCGGTGTGTTCTGATGTGGGTTGACCTGTGGGCATGTGTTTGTGGTAGTTTTGACTGTAAGGAACAGCAACTACATGGCGGTGAGAGCTCCTTGATGCCAGAGCTTCTGTGTGGAAAGGGCGTCATCTCTGTGTGGGCTGCTCATCACCCTCCTCTCATGGCTTCTACTCCTTTTTTTGTCTGACACCACCCTGCCTTTGTTGAGACTGTGTGCGACTAAGGGCTAGGTGTCTTCTGTCACCGATTGGGAGCATCCTTGGGTACTGTGTATATCAGAAGAGTTACCTGACCTTTGTTTAGGACTTAATTAGCACTTACTGTTAGTCCATGGGTTGTGGAGATAGAGTTCAGTGCTTCTCAATTCACTGGTAAACAGAAGCCCCAGAATTGGACAGCTTTTTCAGTTTTGTTCTGGTTGTTCAGAAGAGGTCCCCGAGTCCTGGACAGGTACATACTTTGGGCAGATAGCTAAGTGGTATACAGATTGCACATTAAATCAATTTAGTGAATCATAGCCACCTAGTTCATTGACCTGGGCAATAAGAAGTCAAGTAACTAGTTAGATGACAGTCTTCTTTTTGATGTTTGAGATCTTGTAGCATATTAGTGGTTTGTCTCAAGGCTCTGAGAAACTGAGTTGTTCCTCTTCTCAGGTGAAACGTCTTGGTGGCACTGAAGCTTGTCTTCCTGCAGTCCTGGAAGGCTCACTACCACCATGGGTGGCAGGTAAATCCCTACTTTAGGGAAAGCCACACATATTAGTAACTTGAATTTAAAATGCTTCTTTCCCTGTTTGCATTACTCATCTAAATTTACATGCAGGGTTTTCATTACAGTCCAAGGAGCACCATGGCGATGTCATATTCACACTTCCAGTGTCATTCTTGTGTACTTGCATATGTGCAGCTGACGGTGTAATAGGTCTGGGAAGGATCAGTTAACAAAAGCATCAAAGCCATGTTTATGTTTCCTCTGGCAGTCCTTCTAATCATTTCCTTGGAAAATCTTACTACTTTAAGTTGCCTTATCTAGATGAATTCCACGGATGTGTTTGAGCATGGGTTCAGTGCTACTCGAAGTACAACTGCTCTGGTTCTTGTGGGCTGCAGTCCAGCTCCTCCCAAAATGACCATGACACTCTAGTGGAACAGTTTGAAAATCACTAGATTATGTCATTTGTTGACAGAGATTTTGTAAAAAGTCAAGGTATTAGTGAAGTGTTTTACACAGCACTCTGACTGTGGTGGCTTTGCTGGCATCTGTGCAGAGAAAGTACAGGCAGTGTTCTCCATAACTCTTCAGTTATAGGCCATCCGTGATGATTTTCTGTAATTCTTGGATTTCAGCTAAGTAGGTGTTCCTTCATAATTTAATTGTACAGGTAGGGCTGGGGATTTAGCTCAGTGGCACAGCGCCTGCCTGGCAAGTGCAAGGTCGTGAGTTCGATCCCTGGTACTGGAAAAAAACAGAAAACAAACAAACAAAAAATAATTGTACAGGTAGAACATCCCTAATCCTAGAATCTGAAGTCCAAAATGCCCCAAAATCCTGAGTGTTATGAGTGCCAATATATTGCTCAAAAAACTTGGATTTTGAATTTAGATTTTCAACATATAAAGTCAAATCCAAATGTTAAAAAAAAAAATCCAAAAACTGTAAAATCTGAAGTACTGGCTCCAGCATTTGGAATGAGAGATAGCAATATTTGCAAGTCTTTCTAAGATGGATGTTTGTGCCTCTGTGTGATCAAGTAGAGAATATTGGATAGAATCCCATCCTGATTTGGACAGTGATTGGTATAATCTTTAGTCCTTGGTCAGTGAAGAGCTGTTTCATTCCTGCTAAGGACCCTGAGCCACAGTACTTCATTGTAAAAGTTTTTCTTCCTGATTTGTCAATGTGGCCGTGTCTACTGGCAGCTCCACAGCTCTAGGTGTGGTGTCTGTACACCAGATTTAGAGTGGAAAATGAGAGCGTCAGAGAAGAGGAACATAAGTGAAACCATCAGTATTTATTGGGCTTTTGTTTTTTGGCTTGGGATGGGTGGGTGTGTGTGTGTGTGTTTTGGTTTTTGAGACAGGATCTGTATGTAGTTCAGGCTGACTTTGAACTCACTATATAGTCCAGGCTAACCTCAAACCCACAGTGATCTTCCTGCCTGAGCCTCCCAAGTGATGGAGTTACAGGCATGTACCACCACACCTGGCTCCCCAGTATTTGTTTTTTGATAGTTAAAAATGTTTAGCTTGCACAGAGCAAGTCCTGAAATCACATGGCTGCTTTGATCACTGGGGACATTCGGGAACCGAACTCACGACCTTGCGCATGCCAGGCAGGCGCTTTTGCCGCTGAGCTAAATTCCCAGCCCCCACATGGCTGCTTTGTAGCTAATTTATCTTGACAACTCCCTAGAAGTTCACTCAAAGTCTCAGGTTCTTAAGATCATATTAGAGATTACCCTTTTGTTTACCCTTGAAAATACTTGCATTGAGTTTCTATAGACTAATTTTCCTTAGAGAACCTCTTCTTCATTAAGTCACATGTACTTATATAGACAGTATTTGGTTAGTTGACAGCTGATTTGAGTATGCTTAGGCCTCCCCTCAACTCATCTGAGAAGGCAGGAAGGGCTCTGTTTTATAGGCTGGGCTTCCCCTCTGCACAAGTTTTCTCATATCAGTGGAACTTCTGGCACTTGTTATAGCAGCATCCAGCTCTGCCAGCATTTCAGAACCTCCAGTAACAGTAGCATTCATGGAGGTCTGCCATTCTTAGGAGGACATGCCAGGACCAGACATAAACTGCACTTGGAAGCCAGACCCCTGAGCCCTTGGTCTGTGCTGTTTTGGTTCCTCACAGGTATAACTGAGCCACTGCTTGCCCTGATCGCTGATACTTTCTATGGGTAGTGTTGAAGTCACTGTCATACAGAATTCCTGGGAAGAGTGGTGTCTTCTCTGATGCCAGATCACCCCATTCCCCTGCAGGCATCATGAAGGAACTTATGGTCTTGGCATCTTTGTGTGGGTGTCCTTCCCATCAGTGTTTCTTCCTCTTGATCTTTCACAGGACTTGTAAAATACTTATTTTTGAAAAATGAAGCAAGGTCGCTTGAAATACCACACTTACTAGGCTGGAGCTTTGGAAGAACAGACAGTGGTAGTACCAGCCTGAGTGATGGTGTGGTTTTTGGACTTCGTAACAGTTGCTTTAACTAAGGTGGCTCTTGTCCTAGTTGACATAGGTTGCTTGACAACAACTTACGTTTTGCTGACATACCCTGTGTGTGTGTGGGGTGTGTGTGTGTACACTGAGATGAGTACGACATATGTAACCTGGTAGCCAGCTCATCTCAGGCACTGCTTCAGGGGACAAAGAATAAGCTCTGATCTTGACTATGTGAGGCTTAGAGCTTAAATCCAAAAGAGTCTTTTGTTTGTTTGTTTGTTTGTTTTTCCTGTACCAGAAATCGAACTCACGACCTCGCGCTTGCTGGGCAGGCGCTGTGCCACTGAGCTAAATCCCCAGCCCCCCAAAAGAGTCTTTGTAATACAACAATAACAAGACAAGGAAGACTCCCGTATTGGTATGTGTGAGTGAACCTTTTGTAGTTTGGTGGTGATGACTGAAGCAAATTACTATAGAGACAGGCAATGGGACTGTGGTTCCATAGAGCCTTCATATAATAGTCACTAGGTTGTCCTTTTTATTTGTAGGAAGGTTGTATGTTTTTCGTAGCTTTGTTCTGTCAGATGGAAGAAGGAACTTTCTTCCCTATGCAGATAAAGAAAGGAAACTGAGGTTCCACATTTGCAAGCTGCCTGGTGAGATGTGTGTAAACATTGTTCCTCCTCTGTGTGCTTACTCCCAGAGATCCGCAGGGTGGGGAAGTAGCTATACTGCTAGTGTATAATATTTATGTGAATTAAAATCATTTTGGTTGAAAAAATTCTGACAATTCACTGTCAGAAACTAAGTTTGGGAATTACTGGTTTTAACAAGCGATTTCTTAGTCTGTACAGATCTTCCTGCATTACTATCATTATTATTATTATTATTAGTCTGCTGTCATTCATGGAGAGACTCTAAAGTGCACAGAGAGAGAGAGAGAGGGAAATACATCAAGTAATGGTCATGTGAGGTAAAGGGTAACAAACAACAGAGGGTGAGGTTATGGACCATTTTAACTGATGTCTGACCTCATGGCTTGCTGCAGGAGGAGTGCCTCCTTCAGCCAGCATTTGGTGTGTCACTAAAAAGAATCATTGAATAAAACCAAGATAATTCCAGCAATAACAGTATTACTG